ACAACTAATATTAAATGATATTAAATTAATTCTAAAGTATGAATAATATTTTTAATTAAAATGAAAGAGTAAATTTGAAATTAATTATTAAAATAAAAATCATAGAAGATTTAAAACCTAGAAGTCTAAAATATAAATAGATGAAAGTGAGGGGTTTGTAGGAAATTTGATCATTTGAATTAAAACAAAAGTAGGGGTTAGTATAATTTAGCCATGTCTATTAAAGCATAAACATATAATTGTCTAAAATCTAAATGAGAGAAATTATGGGTGGTTTCATGAACTTGACCATTTGAAAATAACACAAATAGGGGGGTTGGATTGTAATTTTTCCATTTGAAGTTAAAACTCACACTCCCATCTGCAAATCGATGGAAACAGAGGAGGGTTGCTGCCTACGTTTTTGCATAGCTTCTTCTGGCGATCGACTGGACGATTGCCGGATGATTGTTGGGTGACGGTGAATGCAGCGACGGCAAACGACGGCGTTAGATTTATAATATAATATTTTTCGACGAGTTTTCCAATGAATTTTCCGATAAGTTAAGATCTTTGACGGGGACTATTACGCATGATCATTCATAACTTAAATAATCTATAAATTTTAATTCTAAATTAATTAAATCACTTAAATTAATTATTATTTTTAATAAAAATATAATTAAATTATAGTTCTATTAAATTAGAATTAAATTTTAATTAATAATTAATTTTAAATAAATTCTTATATTTTTTAATATTTATATAATAAGAACAAAATTACTTGTGATACTTTTCAATACATCATTTTAGTTGCGCATTATAGTACGCGAGAAACGTCGTAGACTCTTCCCTTGGAATCACGATTTTTGCTCTGTTTTGAAAACTGGACCGGCCGGTTCAATCGGGAATCGTTGTCTAATTCAGTTTAATCTAAACCGGTTGAACCGCTACTAGTGAACCGGTCAGAACCGCTGAACCGTTCGAACCGGACCGGCTGAAAACCGGAAAAAACCGGAAAAACCGGAAATTTTGTTTTTTTTAAAAAAAAATTAAACCAAACGTCGTTTGTTAAACGAGCCAAGTCGAACTCGAGTATTACTGAGCTCGACTCGAACTTGAAAACTTTAAAAGTAAGCTCAACTCCACTCAAACTCACAAGTTAAAAATTATCAAGTTCAACTCGAAATATAATATTGAAACTTGAACTCAAAAAGGCTTGAAATAAAAAAAAAATAGAAGCTCAATTAAAGCCTAAAATTCGAGCTTGATTGAAGTGAAAGAATAATTCACTCAATGCTCACCAAAAGGTTCCATGATTTTGAATGCTAAATTACCTCTATTATTTATAGAAGTTAGTTGTGATGCTCTTCTATGTTTCTTAGCAATGTGGGATTGTTTTGTTCTCATATTTTTACTCTTTAGACTTTTAGGATGCTCTTCTATGTTTCTTAGTCATGTGAGATTGTTTTTAAAAAAAATTAAACCAAACAATATCATTTTGTTATGATTTTTTAGCCCCAAATTTATTTTTTAATTATAGTTATATAATTATATTATTTAATATATTTACCTTAATATTTGTTGTAATTAATTTGAATTATTTTGTTTCACTTGATTTTATGGTTTTTAATTTATATATGTTATGACTTGCTTTAAATATAACTTGTGATATAAAAAATTATTTTTTATTAAATATTTTTAATATTTTTATTTAATTTTTTAAATAATTATGACGTCGTCCGATTCTTCCGACCGATCGGATCGGTTCGACCGGTTGAACCAGTAAACCGGTAGCATGGCCGATTCGCTAACCGGTCCGGTTCTGAAAACCATGGATTTTTGAAAATTCCACATCTCTATAACACGCCTTTTTACCCTTCATTTCTTTGCCTAATGTATTCATAAATTTGGAATTTACTAAGATTAAGAAATAAATAAATAAATTGATTTGGTCTATGTTAATAGAAATCCAAAATAGTGGTCGAATATAAGTATACGTGATATGCAAATACAAATATTTGAAGGGAAAAAAGGAAATTAACATTACTGTTAAGAAAATTATTTTTTATTAACCCAGTGTGATTATAAGTGATAGTATTTATTCTAAGAATTATTAATTATTAAATAATAAATTTCAAATATCCTAATAATCGAGAACAATAACCATCTCTTTAATCGCTGAAATTACTTAGTTCGTGTTGTCAACTGAATTATTGAATTGCTAGAAAAGAGTAGATCAAAATGGAAGGGTTGGTGCAAAATTAGGTGAGAAATCATGAGGAATTTTTTAAAGTTTGGACGAACCTTTAAAACGACCCAACAAGTTCAATGATTAGGAGCTGTCTACTCCACATGGTCTAAATATACAAGCCAAAACCCTTTTCAACCACAAATTCTAAAATAGATAATTCTAAAAAAAGATATTTATAGCTAAATCCAACCTTTAAACATTTCAGTAATATACTCTCTCTGTTGAGGGTGGCTGGCCCTGCCTGCCAGCACCTCTTCATTGGTTACTCTCCACATTTCACATCTTAGACTCGGATAAAATTGTGCTCGTTTATCGGTTTATTTTTTAAGATGTTTATATTTAATTTATATTTGTTCATTTTTTTAAGGTGTTTATGTTTGATCTATTAACGTTTATGAATATATTCGTTTAATGTTCATTTAATGTTATGGTACCAATATTATTTGTTTATTCTTTTATTTGTAAGCCACAGGAAAATGGTGAGATTATGCTATTAGTTCTTGAGTTTGAAAATTTTAACTCCAAAGTTTATCTTATATTAGTCTATACATTTATTTAAAATGTAAAAAATTAAAATGAAAAAGAGAATTGAGTAAACGGACTTATAAACAAGTTGATAAATGAATTTATAAACGAACCGATAAATCAACTTATTCATAAACATAAACGAACAAACACAAATTTGTTCGTATCAACGTAAAAAAATTCTTCGTACTTATTTATTTAACTTAATAAATAAATAATATAAATAATTTACAAATCATTCAGTGTTTACTTTATTCATTAACAACTTTAATGATAGATTCAGACAAGGAAACGATGATATATATATATAATGTAAGATGTATTGTTATATAAATTATAGAAAGAAAAGACCAAGAGGAAATACAAAAATAAACAACCATGACCTTCGTTAACCTAACAAACAACCCTTGTTGAAAAAACGATGACACTTGCAATCCTCTTTACGTGATTCATAGTTTCATTGAGCACAGCACAACCCTTTCAGGGCCTTAACAGCACATTAAACAGTCTTCTAACCGTTAACGCATTCCATGTCAGAGAACACGAAATCCAAGGAAACCAGAACACTCTACATACTCAATTCTAGTGTTTACCACTAGAAATATCTACATTGAAAGGAAATAAGTCACTTTCCGTTTAAAAAAATATATGAGCACTAATAATAAAGCATTTTAACTGGGAAATATTTACGTGCGGCGTTTAATACACGGCTAAAAAAATGGTACTGGTTTTATTATTGTTGTGTATAATAAAATTGGTAAAAATTACCGAAAACATTATTATTTCTACCGGTTTTGTTATTATTTTGGCATTTTACCGGGTTTCTTAACAAAACTGGTAAAAGCGCTACCGGTTTTGTTATTTTTTTACCGATTTTGTTATTGTTTGACATTTTACCGGAAATGTTAAAAAACTTTGATGTTTTAGGTAGAAATAATAAAGTTTTAGGTAATTTTTACCCATTTTATTATGTCCAACAATAACAAAACCGGTAAAAATAGACTTTTTTAATGACAAAATTAGTAAACACAAAGATTTGTTTCTAACATTTTGTCTAGTATGGTTCTCAAACATAAAGTTTCCAAAACAGTGTCGATACATTTATTGTAAGTATCGATCATCAAAACATCGAAGTTAATTATTATAAAGTAATAGGTAAAATATACCGGTTTAATGAGAGAATAGGTAAACATACGTGTCGATACATTTTCTAAAAGTATCGACCCAAAAAATCGAAACCGATAATTATAAAGTAATAGGTAAATTTACAATGTAACCGGTATAAATATACCGATTTTATAATAGAATAGGTCAACATAATGTATCGATACAAATTTAAAAAGTGTCGATACATTTTGTCTAGAATGAATGTCAAACGAGGTGCACGCATAAAGTGTCGATACATTTATTAAAAGTATCGATCCCAAAAACATCGAAACCGATAATTACAATGTAATAGGTAAATTTACAACCTGGTAGAAATATATCGGTTTTATGAGAAAATAGGTCTACATAATATATCGACACGTTTTAAATTTGTGTCGATACTTTTTTCCAGAATGAATGTGCAACGAGGTGCACACATAAAGTGTCGATACATTTAAAATTGTATTGATCCCAAAAACATCAAAATCGATAATTATATTGTAATAGGTAAATTTGTAATATTATCGGTATAAATATACTGATTTAATTAGAAAATAGGTCAATATAAGTGTTACCTAATATGTTATTATATTTGATAATATTTCCGGTTAAATGTCTATTTTATTATATAAGCTCTACCTAATATGTTATTGTAATTGATAATATTTCCGGTTAAATGATTATTTTATTATATAAATATTACCTATTATATTATATAAGTGATACCTAATATGTTATTGTATTTGATAATATTTTCGGTTAAATGATATAACATATGTAAATTTTAACCGATTTCTTATTTGACTAATCACACTATTTTTTTAACCCTTTTTTAAGAGCCGCACAGCGGATCTTCCCATTTTAACTAAGAAAAACTACCCAGCAACTAAGGAATATATATTGGGTATCAATGCTTTTCACCTTTTACCGACACGTAGAAATTAAAATCTGCGACAGAATGATAGAAGGACACATGCCTTCACACATGTCATTCTACAGCCATCTCTAAGGCTGTCTATAAATCCGTCTCGATTCTAATTTGTTCTTCACTTTTGAATTGGATAATTTCAAGTAGCGAGGAAAAGAGAGAGAAAAGATGGCTCCGAAGCGTCGAGCAAAAGTTGTAGTGAAATCCACTAGGAAAATCGTGAAGGAAACTGTTTGGCTGTAGTTGACAAAACAGAGGGAGACGACAATGGTGATAAAAAGCAGTCAGAGACGGTTCCTTTTGAAGACAGAGAAGAGGAGAAGGAAGAAAGGGTCCTCACCGAAGTCCCTACTTAAGAACCAAGTGATGATGAACCACCAAAAAAACCCGTGAAAGTTCGAGTTCCGGTTGAAGCTCCAGGCGAAAAACAAGAGCAAAAAAAAGCCAAAAGCGGAGAGAAGAAGGGAAAAGAGAATGGGAAGAAGAGAGGGGAATTGGATGGCTATGAAGGGTACAAGACGTACGTTTTCAGGGTACTCAAACAGGTCCATCCAGGGATGGCGATTTCGTCGAAAGCGATGTCGGTGATCAACAGCTACATGAACGACATATTCGAGAAGCTTACAAGTGAGGCAACTAAACTGTCCATGTACACCGACAGGAAGACATTGTCTTCGAGGGAGATTCAAGGGGCTGTGAGACTGGTCTTGCCAGGGGAGCTCGGCAAACATGCTGTTGCTGAAGGAAGTAAAGCTGTAACTAACTTTGCCACCTACGATAAAAAACGGTCCAAATTGGATTAGTTTTAGGGTTTAGGGTTGATGTTTCCTTGTTGTTTGCCCCTTTTGTATTTTGTTTCTGTACTATAATCGAAGGGGCTTGTACTTGCAAGTTGTGGTTTGTAAGCTATAGGTTGATTCGGGTTTCTAGGAAAGCTATGGTTTGATGTGTTGCTGTCTTGTGCATGTCTGTTAGTGGACATGTTTTATATCACTATTATGTAACAAGTAAAAATATAGGTGTTTCTAGTTTGGTTCGTTTGAATCAGCAGCATTATTTATAGTTTGGTCATATTTTACATTAGATACAACAATTTAAGAATTATTTTGATATAAAAAAACAAGAACTTTAATATGATAATTAAACATTATTTATAGTACAATGATTAATGCTTTACGTGACAGTCCAACGCTGTGAAAATAAAATCCAACATTAAGAAGACACAGGACATTAACATTTGTCAACCGTCAACAGTTAAACCACTATACACAAAAAAAAATTAAAATATTACAGTTAACATCGAATACGTTTGTGAATCTCTCTTTTCACAGAACGGTCAGAGTAGTTAGGCATCCAGGAGCTTCCAACCACAAACCAGAAGCACTTTCACCAAGGAAACAATCTAATCCAAGATGCCAAGACTTGGTTTAGAAAATAGGTCAGAATGGTGAACTACACCAATTACATGACACAAATGTTATTGTACTTAAATTTTCACATGAATAATATTATAAAATACTGAATAATAAGATGGCTTTCAGATATATGGGGCAATCGCAATGGGCTCAGAAGAAAAAGAAACAAAGATACCTGAAAGTGATCCTGGAGGGAAAGCTGATGAGAGATTCTATAATCAGTACGTTTTTTTATTGGATGGAGTAAGCACGAATGACCTCAATTACTGGCGCACGACACATTGGACACTTAGCTCCACGTCGGATCAATTCATTGGCACAATTAAAGCATGCGCACATGTGTCCACATCTGTAATATTTGGTAGATACAGAAATCACTAGCAAAATATTAAACCTACATCATATATGAAATGAAATTTACCTGTACAGTAATGAATCGATATTGCCATCGGAGCATATACAACAGATCCCTTTCCTGACACTATCCCAGTTGTGGGAATTCTTGGACGAGTTATCACTAATTATCCCTGCGGCGGAAAGTTACCATGATTAATGAACAAGCTGGACAAAGATGTTTTAAGCGTAAACACACACATCACTGTAAACAACATAGATTAGTAGGGCTGCTTGAGGGTTATGAAGGTTGTCAAAGAGAAATAGAGCTGCTTGTGAGAGATTAGCAAGAAAAAAGAAGAGGGAATCACTTTTCAGGATAATTCCGAAGGCTATGTTACACAAGTGAGCAGATACAATACGATAGGAAGGAAAAATAAACCTTGTGAACCAGTTGTATGATTCAGGGCAGCAAAGACTTCTTGTCTTATTGTCCGTTGTAACTCAAGCTGCATTTCCATGCAGGCCCCAAGCATCCTTTGCATGTTATTCATCCTTTGCTGCATTCTAGCCAAGTCAACCCTCAAATCATTAATGATATCCCACCCCTGCATCGAATTAGCAACACGGTTCGATTAGAATGGAGACCGATCAAATGGTAATCCAACAAGCAGGCAGCATGAAGAACCAGACGTGTTTTACTATCCAAGGATAGCGGAAGTAAATTTGACAACCCAAAGGCCAGTGGAAACAAACTGCTGAAGCTTAATATTAAGTTTTCACCAAGACAAGAATGTTTAGGAGATCGTTACATTAGCAACAGTTTTGCTGTACATACCATGCCAAACCGCTGATGCACATCATCTGGAGACCAATTATATGGTATGAGTCCCAGTCCCTGAGTGGCTGTGGATATGGCATATTGGGTAAAGGAAGAGCAAGTAGAGAAGAAACCTCAGCATCTCTCCGACCCTCATTTCGATCCCTGCTTTGCTGTACTACACCTTGTTCAACCGAAGCAAGAGTAGCAAATGTTTCATTTTGGAATGAATCCTGGTCCCACAGTGGCAGCATATATGGCATCCCCGGTGAAGGAAGAGCAAGTGGAGAAACCTCAGCATCTCTCAGACCCTCATTTTGATCCCTGTTCTGCTGTTCTGCATATTGTTCAACCGAAGCAGGAGTAGCAGATGTTTCATTTAGCTCCAAGTAAAAAGAGGGATCATTTTGCCTTTCCACATATGATTGTATGAACTGGTTAAGACTCTCACGGAAACCACTACAAAGAAGACTAGACACACTTCTCCTACAATATTAAAAATAGCTTGTGTTAGAAAAACAACTGGTCAACACTCAGGTCTGACCATGCGTCTAACATGGGTATGTCCAAAATCAGACACAGATTTCAGATAGAGGTGATTCAAGAAAATGAAAAGTCAAAGTAACATAAAGCCAAAAAGTTAAAGAATTCACACCTATTTAACAGTTCCCTCAGTTCCATACTCTGTACATCATCATCATCAGGAAGATCAAAGGTATATGTTCTTCTAACAGTGACAGGTTCTTGATTGGAAGATCCTTCCAACTGATTCCTTGCGGCCTCATGCAAGCTGCCATCCTCATTACCACCATCTTCATGGTGCGTGTTAGAGGCTTCTTCATTACTACCATCCATCAATACATTATGCTCAACATGAGCTTCTCGCCACTCGGCGTTGTTATTTTCGTAATTCTCCTCCTGCTGTCCTTCAACTTGAGAAGCAGATTCCTGTCCATCAATATATTGAACTAGATTCTGTTCTAAATTTTTTCTGTCATTAGTTAACCAGTAGGTCCCACTTATCTCACCATCTTGGGGGAAATGTACATAAGATGCTTCACCACTATGTTCTCCAGCTTCATTCTGTAAAGTTTCAAGGGACGATACATTCGCAATATTTTCTTGCCTGTCCCATCCAAGACTTGTCTGGTAACATCTCTGCTTTCATCCTGAAACTCTTCCACAAGAGTAGAAGCTTCTTGCCGACTTACATCTTCAACGACGTCAACCACTAAAGTTTCCTCATTCTCATGTTCAGATTGGTCATTTAATCTATCTATGACTTCATCTGAATTATCTACATTGTTTAGTTCATTTCTATTACCTGTAGTGTCGGTGTTTGATGATGTATCAGAACATTTACTGCTTGCAGGAACACAACCAAAACTATCCAGTCTGGAGAGAAAACCTTCCCTGATACAAAGACAGTTGGCAAAATGTTACATCCAAAAGGTGAAAATGACATCATATAAATAAAATGAACTAGGAATCGGAAACTTATTATCTAATTCAACCCTGACAACCTTGATTATCTTTGTGAACTTCCTACAATCAAGAATCGATAGTTGAGACCAAACCCAATGGTTAGAGAATGCAAAAAATATATTTTATTAAACTTAACCACAGTTGGCAGAACATCCTCATATTAGTAGCAATAGTTAGAAAACCACCCACATGACAACAAAATGTTTCGCCAAAAATAAAGTGCAATATACAATTTAATCCTGACATTTCATCATTAATAAGAGACCACCCACATGACTAGTAAATTGGGTAATACTCACTTATCCAGTCAGAATAATAGTTAAATAAAATGAAGAATGTTCATAAACTCCAAAGAATTTCGAAGTTCCCTGTTCCCTGAACTGTGAGACTCGCAATCACAGAATGAGAGTGCAAAAGGCCCCAAGTTCAGACCAACGATCACATCTAGATTTGCAGCTTCTGGATATGATCCTGTGTTTCTAGGTAGATATCTGCTTAATTCCAAATCCCTTTTTATCTTATTAAATCTGCGCCTAGGAAATTTTGCTACGTGAGTGTAATATTTGAAAAGGGAAGCTTAGTAGTAGGTTTAGGAATTGCAGGTATCGTAATATACTAAAATTTTTCATGCAAGAACTTGTACAATAGAATGAAGACTTGACCAAAGCACTAGCATTTACAATCTTAAACTCTTTATTGTATCACTCAATACAATGAGAGGTAATAGTATCATGAATTTCCACATCTTTAATTTTACTGTATAGCTTCTTTCTACCAGGCCAGAATCCTGCTAAGAATTTAAGTTTCTTCTTTCTTTCTTTTTTTAATGAAAGTGAGTATTTTGAGTTAAATCAATGGAAGAGGCATTATTTTAAGCTTCTTTGAAAACATGCAATAAATTTGAGATCTAAATCGAGAATCTAAATTCAGGTTTGAATTTTCATGAATAGTTAGTGAGTGCGATGAATGTGAAATAATAAGACTAGAAAAACCAGTGCTCTGCTTGAGAAGCTGCCTGCACAATCTACTAGACAGTACAACTTCCCCTTGCTTAGAGTTTATCTTAAATTAAGTATTTAAGTACCGTATAATATAATGTGAAAGGATATGATAAAGATGCTTACAGAAAACAATGAAGTACCTTAGACCAGACACGGTCTGTCTTTGTCTTAATAAGCCTAATTCACTGGCTGCTATGGATGTACATCTTTCACCTGCAACCCTTTTGTCATTCCTCAAGAATCTACCTCTCAACAATGACTGCAAAAGAAAACAAGATATGGAAATAAATGAATTCCACTAAAATTAGTCCTTGTTAAGTAATGTAAAAATCTAGATGATGGAACAACAGTAGGAACTTCAAGCACTTGATAAAGATGCCAAGGCCAAGCTAAATTAAACTATGGTTTGGTTTAAACAAGTCACGCATATACAGGGACAGAGCCTGGATGAAACTCCCCCCGGGGGTCGTTCATTATCCGGTGAGGAATGGACTGTTTTTGTTGGAAATCTTAGTAAGAGAGTTACTAGAGGTGAGTTAAGAGAGATTTTCAACCATTATGGAAGAATAGTGAGGGTCTTTATTCCAAGTTTTATGATTAAACCGAATTATAAGTCATCCATGTTTGCTTTCGTGCAATATGCAATGGAGGAAGGTTGCAGAAGAGCAGTTCATAATGTCGACGGAACGCTGATTGATGGGAAGAGTCACAGTGGAGGTTGCAAAGTACAAGAGGGTAGGAATAGAGAAGCAGATGGAAAAGGAATTCAGTTGGAAGGATTTAAGCCAGATAGAGAGGCTAATGGTAGACAGCAGGCTGATTTGGAGAAACCAAGAAGTTTGAGAGATGATAGAACGTACAAG